TTAGCTGTGGAGGGCAGTGTCACTGGCCCTCATATGTGGGATCCGAACCGGGGCCCTCTGGCGTCCCAAGCCAGTTCTTAACCATCGCGCCACTTGGCCAGCCCAACAGCTGTACTTTTAAAGGTTCCTTGATTGATGTGAATGGACAGCCTCAGATTCCTTCTTCCCTCTCCCAAGAGATTTATATTTCTCTTTTGAAGAAGGCTCTCAGAACAAGGTTATTTTCAATTCCTTGGGGTTTTTTTCTCTTGCCGAACAGAAATTGAAAAAACAAAAGGGACAGGGGGTTTGTGTTTAGTCTTTCCCCTACTTTCTACAGCTTTGTGAAACCCTCAGATTTCTTCCTAATTAGAAAATTTACAGGGGCCACTCACAGCATCCTTCATACTCCTAGTTTGCAAGCTCCTCCAATCCAAGCAACTCCTCAAAGTGAACAATTTTCTTATTTTTCCCTCTGAAATATTTCAAAACACTTCCGAAATGTATAATAAAAGGAACAGCTTTTTAAACAAAGTTATACAGGATCTTCCTCAAAAGGGAAAAACAAACTATACAACTAACCCTGGGTTAAAAAGTACATAGAGAAGACATTTCATTCCTGTGGAGGCCAAAAGGAAAGGGACGCCATGCTGGCCGAGCCATGCCCCCACCCTCCCTCTTTCGCACAGTCCCTGCTGCCTCTGAGCCCAGAGAGGACTAGAAAGGGTTGGCAGCCCAGACCAGGGCACAGGAGGCAAATCCCTTCCCTGCTCCTCCACAGAACCCCCTCAAGGCTCTGTGAGGTGGGCCTGGCCTGTGCCAAGCTTGGCGATTCTATTGGCAGGCCTCTTTCCTCTACACTGAGTCTTGCCTTTGTCTAGGGTTCCGCAGTCTCTAGGTTTATCACTTCATACTCTTCCCTCCATCTTTGTCTCAGGGCATGAGTCCAAAGTGATGCCTAAATCTTGCAAACCAGTGGGGGTTCAGAGGGGCAAGGTCAACATGATGGGTTAAGAGAGATCTAGATTCTGTTTACACTCTGGGCCCCTAGGCTGAGTCAACATTACCAAATCTGGTGATTCAAGCTCCCAGCTAGTGTGTGGGAGGACTGGGGATTAGACCCTAGGGCTATGTGAGTCCAAAGTCACACAGCTGGGAAGAAACAAAACCTGGATTCCACCCCAGCTCTGTCTGGCTTCAAGACCTGTTGTTTGTTTTTTTCCCATCCACACATTTCATGCTCAATCTAAAACAGAGTAGTCCTCACACAAAATGCTTTGACCTGAATGCCCTAAAAGAGGGCTCTATTTCCAGGCTTGTGGGTTTGAACGTGAGGATCTTTTCCAACTAGGAATCTAAGAACAAGGGACATTTTTCCAGATGCGAAAACCCCAGAGCTACTATTTTGCTGCAGTGTCCACTGGTTTCCTTTCAAAAGTCAACAAATATCTTCTGAGTCATGTTCATAGCTGTGGGTGTGTGGGCAGAGAGGCTGGTGGGGAAGATACAAAGGACTGTGGTCCCCACCTTCACGGAGCTAACTCTTGTGCATGCCAGCTAACCAGTGCTACTGGCAGAGCCCCATAGGAGCCCAGGGAAAGCAAAAGCCAAAAGTGCTCTGTAACTGACTCCCCCTTTCCCTTGCAGACCTAGGCAGCAACTGCAGGGGAAAAGAGTCCTAGCTCACCCTGACCCTCAGTGCCAGATACACCAAGTGAACCTCAAGCTTCAGGCTTCCTATCGGGTTTGGAGAACGGACCGGACTACCATTGCTGGGAAGTTCTGCACGGCTCCTTTGCCCATCCATGACAGGTAAGCCCAGCATCCGTCCCGCTCCGGGCACACCCACGACGACCAACCCTGACCTTAGGTGTGATGCTTGTTGAGGTGCGATCTCATCACAGTGATGAGCTTCTTCCATGCAAAGATGACAAAGAACCAGGGTTTTCCTGACACGCCAGCAGGGCTGTCTTAGGTTGGGGATGTTAGGAAGTCAAAGAGGGTGGACTTTAAATCCTCATCCTTACTTCAAGATAAGAAACTCCATTTGAATATATTTATTTGGTTTCTATATAAGATTTCATTGGAATAAAGATTTCTAATTGCATTTTTCCTTCTTAGCTTCCACTGGTCACATTCGTGCCTGTGGACTGAGACTGCCTCTCCCCTTTACCCTGCCTCTAGTGGGTGTTTGTAGTATGAGTCTTGTCCGGCCCTTGGAGGACAAGAGTAGGCTCCTGTAGCAGATGCCTGTAGACTTCTTTCGCCTGACATCATGGAAACACAAGAGCATGCAACTCCTAGGCCTCCCTCCTGACCAAAAGGAACCTGCCCTGAACTCACACCCTCTTGTTGCTCTTCTCTTGCAGTAAAAACATGGTCTGCTTACCTGAGCCAGTGAACTTACAAGCAGATGTGACCGTTTCTCGTGAACTGAAAATAACCTGTGTATAGTATAAGCCTGGGCAGGACACATTGTGCTGGATTTCGGCGAGGGGGCGGGGTTGGGCGGCGTGGGGGGCTAGTGTCAACTTATTCTAGGCCATTATTACTAAGAAGGAAGGCAAACCTCTGGTTTATTTTCCCCATAATTCAACATCTTAGAGGGGAGACACAGTTCATTTTACAAAGCTTTATCTCCTTTGAAAATTTGAAGAGGCTGACATAGATACCCTTTCAGCTTTCCTATTCATACTTCAGAGCAATTACCCTCCCCCCCCGCCCCCATCCTTGGGCATCTGTACATAGGATTCAATAGAAACATATATAGGGGAAAATGCTTTAAAAAAAAATAAAACTCCATGGAATATCTGCATCGTTTATTGTTTTACTGGAATGGAATTGTTATGTGCAAAAAAAAAATGTGACTTCTAGTCTGTGGGATTGGAAAAAACAGCAGATGATGTATTCTCTGTATTAAAAAAGGAAAGAAGTACTTGGAACAAGAGAGGGGCTGGAAGGAGGGGCGGAAAATGGCGCCATTCACCATCCCTTACCCTTACCAATTTGGAAGGTTTGGGGGATCAGAGAGATTTCTTGGGAACGTAGCTAGATTTTCTTTGGGTCAATGTTTCCCCAACTTTGATCTTTGTAAATAACCTTGTATGAGCCACAGTCCAGCCAGGGACAGATGGTACGCTCACATTGGGTAAATTGAGGGGAATTCACACAAGGACTGTTACAAAGGTGTTAGCCGAGAGAGGGGAAACCACACAGGGCGGTACAGTTCCGTAGGGCTAGTGGCAGTGGGAGCCGCTGCTGCCCTGGCTCTGAGGAGGAAGAGGAAGGAGAAGAACCCGGAGCCAGAGCGGGCCGTGGGACCCTCAGGCCAGGGACACAGCAGCCAGGCAGCAATATTGCAGGGAGGGAGCCAGGGAGGTTCTCCAGCCTCATTGTTCTTTCCTCCCTCATTCTCCTGCGAGTGCTCCCCACTGAGTGATTCCAACCAGAAGCTGGGAGGCAAGAGGTACGTTGATGTGGCCTGGGCCATAAAGCAGGGCAGCGAAGGGTGGAGAATGGATGGGATGAAGGTGGGGAACGGAGAGGTATGGCCCATACCTTCATCACTTTCTGCACAGCCAGGTACCCCCCCAAATTCTTCTATGTTTAATGGTTTTCTTTAAATTAACTTTAAAAAAATCTTTTAAATCACTTTTAAGTAGACAGTTCAGTAGTATTAAGTACATTTACATTGTTGTGCAACTATCACCACCATCCATCTCCAGAACTCTTTTCGTCATCCCACACTGAATCTCTGTACCCATTAAACAATAACTCTCCACTTGCCTTCCATCCAGCCCCTGATAACCACTATTCTACTTTCTGTCTCTATGCATTGTACTATTCTAGGTACCTCATGGAATCATACAATATTTGTCCCTTTGTGACTGGCTGATTTCACTTAGCATAATGTTTCAAGGTTCATCCATGTTGAAGCATGTATCGGAATTTCCTTCCTTTATAAGGGGGAATCATATTCCATTGTGGGTATAAGCTATATTTTGTTTATTGACATCAATGGCCACTTGGGTTGCGTCCACCTTTTAGCTACAGTGAATAATGCTTCTGAGAATACGGGTGTGCAAATATCTGTTAAAGACTTTTTTTAAAAACCTAGATAAATATATTTTGAAAAGAAACTGCTGACTTGCTGATTCACTCTCCATTTGGGCCAAGTCACCCAGGTGACCAGGAGAGAGAGCTCTGGCCTTGGTCCAGGCAGTGGAAATGCAACCAAAGGAGCAGGTGATGCAATGTGAATACTGCTAACCTAAAAATAAAAGCCAAAGTGAGAGACAACAAGCATTTATTTGAGATCCAAAAGGATAGCTACTCGGGAAGCAGTGATTCAGGCAGAAACCCAAAGTGTTTCAATGAGGAAATGAAGGCAAGAAGTATTTATGATAAAAGGGGGGAAATTACATGAATAGAAGGAAATAATTTCTATAAATGCAGATAAACTCACATAGTGATGCTAATTCTAAAGTATGTCTTTAATTTTTAGTTTGGTAATCATAATGTCTGCTTTCTTATCTAAACAGTTTGGGATACGGCGTTGCTTTAGGCCCAGTCCAAATGTTATTTTGCCCCGTTTTAACATTCCAAAGGCTTGAGGAGTCAGATGTGCAGGGCAGTTCCTTGGGATGGCAGCTCCAACTCCATTTTAAAATGGCTTCATTTGTATTATTTTTCACAATGCTCACATACATGTTTTATCTTCTGTACTGTCCACCGTAGTCAGTAGGAGAATAACATGCCTGAAGAACCTAGATACTCCCCAACAGGCAGGCTTGGAGCTCTTTTTCATTTTTTCAAAACCCACACACCTCTTTACCTCCTCCCATTACTCCACCCAGGTTCCCAGCAAGACAGTCTTACCCTGAGCTATGTTAGGCTGCATTTCCTGTTCCCTCAGCTTCCTGTCGCTGTGATGCATCTGTCAGCCTGTGAGACATTGCTCATCACATAGTTCTTCCTTAGCGTTCCCTGCGGCTTGTTGCTTCAAAGGGCATGTAATTATATTACGACTCAAGATGATGCTCTTTGATGCTGATTGGTGTTACACTGAGGTGACCTGCTGTTTTTCCATCTTCATACTTTCAGTTTTGCTTCTGGGACATGGCCCTGTGTTGTTTTAGGCCAATATATTCATACTTGAAAGAGCTTTCAGATCCCTTACATTTTAGTTCGCTAACCATCAGAGCCTTTAGATCATTACCATTAATGGAAAACCAGTTTCCCTTATCATCAATGAATCCTAAAATAAGTACCAGGAGAACCTAATAACAATGGGTAAACTTCCAACTAGATACTGTGGTTTGCTGAAGGCTTGATGCCCTAGGCCTGACTTGTTCTTATTAAAAAGGGAAGATTAGCAAGTATGAGAGAAATGTCAGAAACTTATAAATACCAGACACTTTCTTCTCTATGTAATCAGTGGGTCGAAAGACAAAACATGATATCAATCTCACGATGTAATACCTTAAAACCATCTTGCCCAATGTGGGGTACACAGTCCACACTTTGGGAAACCTGACTTTAGGTCGGTGGGATGTGTGTAGGGGTAGAAAAAAGGGAGAACTAACAAGAAACTCCGCTTGATGGCAGAGCAAAGGCCGAGTTTGGGTGTCACACCCACGTCACTTGCAACCACTGCTGAGATCTTTTTATGAACAGAGACTATTACAGAAGTAATTCAATAGATTCACTGCCATATGTAAGACACTGTGCTAAGTATTCCAGGAAATAAGGAAAAATAATGAACAAGAGACTCTGCTCCTGCCCTCAACTGGCAGTCAAAGTATGATTCCCAGACTCTTCCTCCCTCGGTTCACTCTATTCTGAATATGTTCAGTTTGTACCAGTCCTAGGACTGGGCTCAGTATCCCAGGTGACAGACAGCCTTAGCTCCACAGAGTATAGCAGAAGGATGTTTTCACTTGTTCTTCATTATAACCCTCTACTAATTCAGCCCAAGTGTCACTTTAGATTAACTACAACTCTTTTAAAGAGTTGTATTCTTCTCAAACCAGCTTGCAGTCTTTCTTGCAGAGTTGATTTTTGTTTGAACCTGATTTAACTGTCCATGTGACCCAATTTTATTACATGTTATTATTGTAGTCTCTCCAAGTTGTCAGGAATTTTCCATATCCTGATTTTATCCTCAAGAATATTTCTCGGGGCCGGCCGAGTGGCGCGATGGTTAAGAACTCGCTTGGGATGCCAGAGGGCCCCGGTTCGGATCCCACATATGAGGGCCGGTGACACTGCCCTCTACAGCTAAGATGCTGAACAACAGCTCAACCTGGAGCTGGGCTGCCGTGAGTTGCTGGCGACGGCATAGGCTGCAGTC